ATCAACCCATCTAAGTAGTCCGTCATCGAAATCCACATCGCTATCCACCACACCATCCATCGCCTCTGGCAGCTTAACCGTGGATAGCCTATATGAAACTTCCCCGCACTTTTCAACATGTGGGTTCCGTTTTTGGCTACCGTTCACATTATTTTCAATGTCGCCTTCACCGGCCCCTTCTATTGTGCGAACAGTCGACGCCATGACTGAAACGAACGACGCTTAGTGGGTTAGAACGGCAATTTTTGGCAAAATCATTTTCACTCCTTTTTTGGCATTCAGAAGGCCATTTAGCGGAAATGGACCATAGTTATATACTCAGTGCTCACGCCCCTACACCATGCAAAAAAACCATTTTCAAAAAGCGTCCCACGCCCTGAAAGACCTTCCTTATTAGCACCTCTTAGCCATTATTTATGACTGAAATCTGAGCAGGGTTGTTATAACCTGAATAGCTTTCATGTAAGAAACTGAGCAAAACTCGGAGCAGCCTGCTCCAAATAAAACCCTTATCTAGTGGTCCTTTATTTCCTTTGAGGCAATAGGCTAATAATCGAAACTGGTAAAAAATACTGCTGAGATATTCAGATGTAACTGAATTCAGGGATTTTGAAATCTAGCTGTGTGCATTACTACGGAAATCTAGATAAGCTAGGAACAACCGTTTACGAGAAATTGAAAACTCGTAAAATTGGTCTATTACTCATCTTCTGCGAACCTTCGAATTCCACTACTACACTGTCATTAATGCAACCTCTATCAACTTTTTTTCAAAAACTGATCATTCTAACTAACAAAGGTTGAGTTGAAATGGGATCTCGCCATTGAAGTTCCATATTTATCGAGAATCATTAAGTCGGAGTATGAACCTTAACCCCTATATCCTCCTGTATCACTTCAGAAAGTCTGCTGACCAAGCGAGGTGTTATGGACATCTGATCCATCATATATAAACTAATATTTCGTTCAATATGGAATGAATCAGCGAATCGCTGTTACGACGCCAACATGTCTGCCTTTCAATTTGGAATTTTCTGCAGTCATACCTAACGAATCATATTGGTAGACGAAATAATAAAACATAGTCCTGTAACAATAAAAGTTGATTTAGTGGTCGCCATGCTCCGGTAGACTGCTTAAAGGCAGCTTTTCAAAGGTAGCTTTGACTGCAGTCGCGCAATATGTTGTGTACCCACCTTAAACTGTCACCCCCCCCCCCCCCCCTTTCTTTCAGCTGCTCAATTCCGTTTCGGTAACGTCCCAGACAAAAAAGTGCAGAGAACAGCCGTTCCACGGTCTAGGGTATTTGTCCTTTCACACAAAACTTATGTCATACTCAATCCATCTCGTTTAAAGGCTCAATTGCTCTCAGCGGGTATCATTCGATGATTTGATCCCTCAGACCATACATATTAGAAAGCGGAGCACGGAGCCTCCCCATCCCAACCGCCCAGCTGCTTCCAGTATGTTATAGAAGAGCCTATTTGGCTGGGCATACCAGCCACATTCGAAGGATTTGATGCATATAAACTGGATGACAATGATACGAGACAGTAGAAGAATTTATGATATGATCACAGATACAATAATTATCACAATTTTCCTATCAATTTAAATTCATTCAAATGAAGTGGAACTTCCACAATCGATTATAATTATGTTAACAATTAAATGCGAATTACAAAAGCTCGATCACTGAGACTGAATCCTTGGACGAGTCGCGCTAGCTCATCCTATGCAATCAATTTAAAGACATCGTCCACGAATAGCTTGCACATCCACCTTGCCTCAATTGAATCCATACTTCACGGCATGATTCAAAATAAAGAAAAATACCGCGTCCATTATGCTAGAGAGTTCACAGAAGCGAACCCCAAGCTTCGTTTGATCATCTACTTAAAGATTAGCTCGAAACGAAGCTGTACTGCCCTAATTTCAAGTGAAATAGTATGTAATCAATAGATTATCATGTAACCATGTCACTCGAAAGTTCGGCTCAATCTTTAAATTTGGTTTTTAGCTATTCCCTGTGTTTTGACACAATTCAGGAATACTCTTTCGATGGATTTTTCCTAGGAAAATTAAATTCGTTGAAGGCGATTTTGCAGATGGACTACAACTACGAATAATATAATCACATGCAATGGTCATCACGATTCCATGAACGGAACCCTCATGGTAACTATGCTAAGCTATACAACAAAATTGATAGAGTGGTTGGCACGGAATGTGAGTTAGGAATATTACAAATCACATATTAAGAAGTAAATCTCGTCGTCTATTAAAAACACGAAGAAAAAGAAGAGAAGAAGAAGAAAAAGAAGAAGTAAAAACAATCTACTTGTGTCGCACCTAGTGGGACATCAGTTCATCAATCGACTGTGGCTCGTTGAGCAATAGATTGCTTCACTGCCTACAAGTAGATTTAAGTTCTTAGAAGGAAAAAAAGAAAAGAGAAACCTGCTGTGAAAAGCAACTACCTGAGTTTTTTCTGCATCTATTTTAATATACTCGATATCAGACGGGGCCGGGCTTCGCATAGAATGGGTTCTGTCTAAGGGGACAGGATTGAAGTAGTCGAGCTCACGTGATCGGCCTAGCGGTCCGGCAGACTGAAATGGCGAGTCCAGCATTTATCCATGAAAGAAAGCCATTCGCGCAATACATTGGTACAACATTGCATAGATTAAGCAGAAAGGAAACTTTCTTCAGACGCTTGCTTACCAAAACCCGCCCAGTACTGAAAAACTAATCGGCAGAATCTCTATTATTAGCCTTTCGACAAAGCAACATGTTACGAAAAACTCGCTTGATATTGACCAATTTGCTGAAACTTTACTACCACCAAAGCTAAGCCGGAGCTAGTCGAGCACAAGCGGTAAAAAAACCTTCTCCCATATGTTTGAAAGAACAAGCATTGCATATTCACCGAAAATCAAACAATAATTTTTTCCCAGAAACAAAACAAAAGCAAAACAAGGAAGAGTGGAGAAGAAAATAGGGTAAAAATATTGACCAATATATATAATAGTTTACCTTAGGGGGATCTCGCATGTCCCTCGGCTTTGAACTTGCTCTTGCTCGGGGTGTTCTCGAAGTGCGTATGAAGTTATTGCCTGATCTGAATAGGTTTACTGTAGCTCGCCAGTAGAACTTCCATACAACACAAGAGTTGCATACAACTCAAAACTTTCCGACAAAACTCAAGACCACCAACAAATCTTTCGTTGATCACTTCTAATGATAACGGTATTATAAGGCAAAATTATACGGCAGAACTTTCGCAACTACCAGGAGTATGGCAGATTATACACCAAAGTAATTCCGGGAGGGTAGCTGCAGAATAAGCGACCGTTTCCACTAGAAGACATGAACTGCTTGATGGCAGCCTATGCAATGCTTGATTTGCCGCTGTTTCCGTTATTAAATTATCATAAGCGTCGGAATAAAATGAAGAATAATAAATCCACATATTCAGGTTAAATCAGCTTTTGCATTGAATCACTTCTTGAAACAACTGTGAGGAAATCTCCAACTGTTCAGATTTGATTACTGATTTAGCCCGGTTTCCCAGTATGTATAGCATTAAACACACAATGACCCGAAAAATTGGGAATATACGCTTACTTATTATAACCGTGTATGGTCATTTCCTCGGGCACCTTTTCTTCATCGTAATCGTAGAGCCGCAGTTTAGCCGGTTTGTTGGATCGATCAACCGCTGGGGGTAGGAAACCTGGTCCACCGCGGAATCCGCTCTCTGGGTTCTCATATGGAACAATTCCATGCCTGAATAAACGAATGCAAAGAAGTAGGATTAAATCATTTTGTATGAGTTATTCGTACTTACATTTTTATAGTTTCACCGCTGCTGTCATTTTCCATAACTTCGTCTATAAGGCTGCGAGTTGGAGGTGAGCCCATGTGAGACATATGGTCCTACAAATATTCACTATAACTAGACTGTAATGTAGCTACTACATACGCAATGATCGCAGTGATTCATGAAGAACTGGACCAACAAAAAAANAAAAAAAGCAAAACGTAATGGAATCGTTATATACCACAGCCAATCTCTTCACAGGAACCCCGGTAGAAGAAGATGCAGAAGAGTATTGAGGGCGCAGACGCGTCCTGGAATGGTAACTGTGCATAATTAATACATCGCAGCCAATAAAAAAATAATAAAAAGTTCAAAGACCTAGGAGGGACCGGTGGTCCACAAGAGAGGTTGCTCAGCTGTGAAATACAGCTGGTCGAATCATCGTCTCCTTCATCACTGGGATGGCCCGACGTTACAGAAGAACAGGCGGATGCGGACGACGATGCCCGCGGCCCTTCCAAAGAATCTTAACATCGAAGAACAATAATAAGTTATCATTTACAAACTATACTAAAAACGCGATGGGCTTCTAACTTTATATTGCAAATGACTTCAAACCAAGGAGAATTTATGAAGGCTCTCGAGCCAATGCTTTCGAAAAACACTAGAACTGACCTGTTCTGCGATGTCGTCTTTGATTACTGGACTTTCTTACCACAGCAGTGGAAGGAACATGACGTTGGCCGCTGTGATTTCGGAAATTTCTTGAGTGGAGGTGTGTTCTTTTTGATTTCTGTAAAGGATGATTATTAAAAAAAAGAAGTACCACTGAAGGTTTCCATACCACACAACACAACACACTGCCTAAATACAAGTCGTCTCTGCACGTCACTAATACTACTACACGACGGCATTTTCACAACAGTTAGGCTCACACGATGATCCCGAACATCAGGTACTGCTTCATCATTGAGGGACTTTATCGCAGGAGGTGGGTTCATTTCGCGTTTCAAATGAAGTTTGAACGGGCGTAACCCAATGATCTGGGATTAGATTCATATGAATTACAATGAGAGTTAATGCCGCTGTACACCCAATGACACAATTCACGATCGAACTGCTTCTGCAAATCACAAAAGGAAAGAAGCGTGGCGTCATCAGAACGCAAAACACTCTGGAAATGATGCAAAAAAACTTGACGCTTCCTCTTAAAAGCCCCTTTTTACAAGGAAGGGATAATGAGACTTAGCAGATATTGCACCACTTCCAGACATTTTTTAATCGTTATAAAGCTACATAAAGCTATCTCGCCATGTTTTTCTTAGAATATAATCTGCAGAACAAATCCGATCGTGAAATCCCGAGCAAAGTCCTCGAACTCACATCGCTGAAGGTATGGGGAAGTGAGTATCGTAGAAACGAACATCGCGGCAAATTATCCCTCCACGATGATGCCTCCTCCAGCTTTAGGGATGGATTTGAAGAGAAATCACTGGAAGCGGTACGGCCTGGGTTCATGAGGATAACTGTGTCGGATGGTGTAACGGGGTTTGAAATCGATCTTGTCCCATAGTTCATCGATGTTGAAGTGGCGCAGAGACGAGAATTGAAACGTGATACACGCTTAGGATTGTACACGAATTCAAACGCATGTAATTCTTCTTCTCCACGAGATGATCGAGACGCCGTCACCTCGAAAGGCCCATTTAAGTAACTTGAAGGAGACCAAGAAGAACTTTAGATTAAGCACGATTCGTCACAGGCGTAACTCATGCACAATTTTCAAATATTACCCGGCTTGCAGAAGTTTAAACCTTTTGATAACTAATTATGTCTAAAACAGAAAATCAGGGATCACAACTCAAGCGCGTGCTTTAAGGAACCTTAGGCTAATAGTCAAAACATCTGATATATTGCCAAAAGAGATGCGGGTAATATCTGACAGTACTGTGGGCAAACTGACTAAAAAAGAAAATCATGCAAAAGCTAAATGTACAGCAGGATAAGGCATGATTTGATATATAGCAATTAGGTAAAATAAACACATCTCTAGCCAGGCATATTAGCAAACGAAGACAAAATACCTCGCCAAAGAAAGGAATTTCACAACTTCTACATTTGACCATGGCGACCTCTGTTGTAATTAATTTTTCTTCATAAGAACTATTTTGTTAGCAGCTCAAGTAATATTTTTGTCAAATCTTTCATTTCCGCTTTAATTCATTCAACCATAGAAAAGAAAATCTTCTTTGAACGAGAAGGAATAAGAATGAAGTGAAAACAAAAGATTGTAACGGAATAACGAAGGCTTTCTCAGTCCAAAACATTCTGTAAGAGAAATAAGAGGAAGCAAAAATAAAACCAAAAACCTCAAACTCCCGGCTAACTTCACTCCTTGGGGTATCGAGCATACTTTCAGAAGATCGATCAGAATAAATAGATAGCCCGCCTATGGACGACGGAAGAGTCGACCGATGGGAGGGAGCTAATAAATAAAACTAAGGAAACAATCACGAACATAAACATAAGACTCTATCGAAAGCAAACCAAAAAAATTATTGCGCACACCTTCAACATGAGACGGATGTTGTTGCATGAACGAACTACTATCGTCATCAGTTTCTTTTTCCAAACGACAAGCACGACAGAGGTTGTATACCCAATCTTTCATTTTCTAAACTAATCATTCTCAGAGTTCTAATAAGCATGACGAACTATGTGTAATTTTTTCTATTCAGCCAACTATCAAACACAATGAGAGACACTTTGAATTTATGACTCACGAAATAACTTCAGTTTATAGACCCTCGAACCTAAAAGGCAAGAAAAAGCTCTTCAAACAGCTTGAAGAAGGCTCGCTCATTGCACAAGAATGGCCAGCATTTCCACACTAATAAAACGGCCATAGCATGAACGCTTTTGACCAGCACAGATGGACATTCCTATGATGATGTTTTGGTAAATCCCTCTTGACAGCCCATATCTACCAAAAAGAAATCAATACGGAGGCATAAACGACGGAAAGTTAAACAGTGGGATGAAATCGCGCACCAACATAATGCTGAATTTTCTAAACTATAAAGTGGTCTAAAAAGAAGTTTTTATTCTTCCCAGATCTACGAATGGACGTCCGAAGTCTCGCTGCTTTCGAATAAGCTTTCTATTATGCGAATTTGGTTTCGTAAAGAAATACTCCATGAACTGCAATCAAATCGATTGAATACGTCACAACGAGATATCCACTGTGCTTTTGATTCTGTGAAACCTCAACGGCTAGTTCGCTGCTAAGGCAAAATATTGATTGGTGCATTAGCGGTTCAATATGTATGGTTCAATGGCCGTTTGTTATACATCTACATATGAAAAACAATAAAACAAAAAAATCAAGTTCAAACGCTCAAAATAAGAGCCAAGAGTATACCTCTTCTGATTCCGACACAAAGTATAGAGGTGTCTTCTTTTGAGATGACGTTCCTTTGGTAAAATACAACGAGAATATCCACTGAAAACCTCCAAATCGCGATGTAGTCGCACAAGAGGAATCCGCCAATTGCAGGTGAGAATCGATCTGAACTCACGTAATACAGATTTGAGTCGAAACGATTTCCACTTGTCAGCATAGACACTTACTTGAACACAACGTACGAGATCCAGAGATTTTCTCAATCGCCGTTTATCTTCCTTTCGGAATTCATCAAGAGCATAGGTTCCTAGCCTTTTATCACAAACTCGTAAAACAAAGTACCGACGAACCCACTTGGACTGTAAATGTTTTGCCTTGGGTTGAAAAAATGAAGGTGAATAAACTCTATATGACTCATGCGTACCTTGAATGGTGGGAAATGCATGCCACGTTCCCTAGATCGTATAAGCCATCCTTCCATATAAATAGAATCTGCCATCTAGAATTGCAAATCGTATTACAAAAGGCTGACAATATAAAAGCTATTTTATTGAACTTAAAAAGTGAAAAGGCTCGATTGAATGGAAGGGTTTTCATGAGGAGACACTTCAGATCCGTTAAGAGAAAGACTTTCAGGTCTGCAAGCACATTCCAACAGAAATGAGCCTGCATCAGCACAATTGAACATTTTTGTGATGCCGCAAGAAATAATCACTATGTTTAACAGTAGAAGGAGGTATTCAGTAGTTTTGGTAAAACACTAAATGCTTGTTGATTATCTATAATTTTCGTAGAAAGGTTATTTAACCATAATTGCAAAATGAACAACTTTGTGCAGTACGCTTCCAGAAAGAAAAGATACGTCAATGCTGGAGTCGTCAAACGTCAAAAACTGAATACACGTCCCATTTCCATCTCGTTTCAAAAGGGCAAGGCAAAATGGCACAGTAGACTTGAACAGTACCGTGTTTCTTCCTAATGCTTTTCACCTTGATTCATGCACAAATCGTAACGACTGGAAAAGCTAAAACGAACCAAACGCAACAAGTTTTAAACAATAACTGGTTTTCTCAAATCATTCAGTTGACTAAATATATGTTTGAATCGTTACGTCTGGAAAACCTCAATCGAAAGCATGGTTTAGACCGATTAATAACGAAGAATTGTCAACTTTAATCAGATGTAATGAATAATAAATGGCTGATAAACAGATAAACAAAAAGTAAACAGTTGTTCCTTAACCTGAACATGGCACCACACAAAAAAATGAAGGTAAAAGTTCACATTTCTAATTATGCTAAATGAGGAAACATGGTCTAAACTTTCTTAAATTTATTAATCACTTTCCTGTTAGAGAAATCAAATTTAATTGAGGAAGGGTTTATTCCCTCCTTTAAATGAGCCATTTTTTAAAATTTACAGATAAAAACTCCGAGAAAAACACTCAAAAAATTACCCCCGACAAACGATTAAGCCTACTACAATTAAACTTGCATTTACACTAATTAAATTTTCTTTTAGCTAAGCAACAACATTACCATCGTCTTTACCACTGAAATGAAATTAATGAAACAAACGGGCTTACCTCGTAAAGAGAGAAAACTACTAAAAGATAGAACAGAGCAGGTAGACCGGAGCGAATTGCCCGTGAACGCAACTGTCAACGATCTCGGCCACCTCTGCGTGTCTGCCATACGGTTGTACAGAATCACAGAAACAGAGTTCGAGGCCGGCGGCCACGTTTCTAATATCATCCATTTTCATGGAGGCCTTAACAGTAAAAGGCTAACTCTGTAGTAATCGTTGGAGAGTCTTACCATATAGTAAAGCTCAACTAAGGAAAGTTAGAGCTAAGTTAGAGTGAATAATGGGAGAGTTTGAGGCTTTGATACACTAAAATAGCTTTTTAAGTGGCTTTTGTGACATTTATAATCGAATTAAACAAGTTTTGTAGAAAAATAACTACTATGGACTTCAATAGCGACAATTTGGCCATCAAATGAACGTTCTATGACCAAATACGGGAACTTAAGTGAACTGATAGTCCTACTCCTATTTTCAACATTATGGGCAGAGCTTTAGTTTAATGACTTTTTTGTTTTATTGCAGATCTAGTATTCTCCGTTGTTATGCTTGTTCCGGCCTTTTTGAACAGTGAAAGGAACGAATATTCAGTACGGAGATTACGTTCATACAGTAATCTTGGGTGAAATAGAATGCTATGGACGCAGTGTTTCACAGACAACATATCTCCTTTCACGGCATAAGCCTAATTGTGTACGCATAAGGTCCAAAGCCACCATCGCAAGAATATTATTGAAGGAGTCACAGCGGCTTTATTTCATTCATTACTTTACTAGCTTTATTTCAGCATTTTATTAAGCTTTATTTCATTTATTTCACTTCTAAATGTTGGTATCAAAGCTAGGCGAAGATATGTGCAGGAACTTGGCAAGGTGATGGTCCCTTTCGTCGGCATCAAAGCCCGGAGAGGCCGTTTGCTATTACGCGATTATTTCGGGATCCATCGTCACTTCTTCTATCTGAGCTATCTGCACATCCCAAAAAGTTGACGAAATAACTCAAACTTTTTCAAAAAGTTCAAGCTAATTCCGAGTTTCCTTGGTTTCCCGGTTGGGAAGAGTCGTTACAATGGGGCGCGCCTAGCGGTGTAATGGAGCACGTTGCCGGAACCCACCCATTGCAAAATGACAGTTGCCGGGTGAAGAACAGTCCTTCGAGAATCGTCGATTTCCGAGTGAACCAAAAAGGGCGTATTCTGCTTTTATACAATAGGATTGATCCTTATAAACTGTGCTATTTCTACTTGATTGTCTGGTTTACGGTATGCGTGCTTGATACTGTAACTCGGATTCTCCCTCTCTGAAACCCAAGCCTGGTGGACATAAATAAAGTCTTTTGTTCATGATTCATCCATGATTTTTTTTAAATTTATTTTTTGGTGCTATAAAAACTTACTGGTACTACAAGAAATAAACTAAGCTCGGAGAGATGGAAGACTTGGTCGGCTTAGGTGAGAAACAGTCTAGGAAGGTACTCAGCCTATGCGTATGACACTGGGTCTCTCGCTGCTACAAACCCTACGCCCAGGCTATCCCCCTACCATAGATAAAATTAAAATTTTGGGATAAAGGCTGTAAACTTTGAGTGAATGGGATAGGGAATGCCCATGCTTCTCCGTTAGTGGGAGGTAGATTTCGGGGGAACGTTATAAGATCTAACGAACGAGTTGTCAGTAAAACTCCAATGTGCCCATCGAATTTGGCTGAGGCATGAGAACACTGAGTGGTTGATTTAATTAGCTGTTATGCTCTGAATGTTATTGTTTTACTCGTTGTACATCAAAGCGTTAGCAGGGGGTCCAGTAAGTGGGAGTAACGAAGAGTCTCTTCTCTTACGTAAAACTTCGTGCAAACCCAATTTTCTGAGTAGCATGATGAAGCAAAAGGAAACAGTATTATTGTATTGTATTGTACAGGCAGGAGATCAAGTCCATGGCTTCATCCACCACGTTTTAGGAAGCGCCCCGCACTCGACTTCCATTCAAAATTGTAGTGACGTTTTGAATGTGCATGTCGTACAGAGTGGCTTGCATTGACCACTTGATGTACAAACAGAGCCCTCACACTCCAAGAAGAACCTGGCGCCGAAACACCCCTCGGAGTAACCGGAGGAAGCCGATACTCCACCAGAAATCCTTGGCTGACCTGGTGGAGTATCGGTTCGGGGTTTAGATATTCGGAGTCTAAAAATATTATTTTTCAAACCTATTTGAACTCTAAAGAAACAGCATTTTTCTTTTTCTTTTATTATAAATGTTGCCGTGCATAATACATTAGCCACACTCATGGCGTTTGCAATGACATGGGCCTTATTTTTTTGCCCCATCACCCTTTATCATTTAAGCGGTAGGTGAAAAGCAGGAAGACGTGGACAGAAGGCCGTAGTAACTATATTACTATATGGAAGCCCGAAAGTGAAGTACATATATTACCACAGATATTTTCCGTCTAGTCGCAAATGTTACAGAAGTCGTTTTAAAAGCTCTTTTAAAGTTCGGAATCCGTTCATTTTGATCTCCAGCTGAGCTACGTAATTACCGTAGCTCGTAGTTAGGGGACCCAAATATCCATATTCAAAGCTTCACCGGTTCGCGAGCAGAATAACGATGGGAAAGTGAGCGATAGCGTGACGATTTGTGGTACATCTGAGACGTTTGGGAGTGGAAACTATAAGTAGCGAATAGGTAAATAGACGGTCTTTGAGGGCTCGAATGACGGATGCTATGTTATTTGTGAGCAGTCCTTCGAGTTACAGGTATATGGCTGTAATGCCTCACTTTTGCTGAGTAGATGCGAGAGCATTCGTTTGTTTAGCAACAGAAAGTCGAGTTTGAATACGAGTCTTTTGAGCGAAAACATCATTCTGGAAGTTAGAACTGAGAGAAAGTGCACGTAACGTTGTCCGTCGAAATCATTATTCCATACAACAAATCAAAATTCTTCACACATATCTACCCATGAACAACGGATTGTTATCCTTGGTAAGAATAAATAAAAATGGATGATCTGCTTGGAATGTCACTGGTTCCTCCATTACAGCTGACGCTCCTACCATCCCGATGACGGTGGCAGCTGCTGCTGTCGTTCCGGCCTCGTCAACCTGAAAATTTTTTCGAGTAAGTTGACAAAGCGAAGGAATGGACCAAAATTATTTTCTTAAGAGAAGGAACAGACAATTCTGGCGCTTATGTACCTCAATGATGGCTTTGTGAGCAGCATCGGAAACCTGTAGTGGAGGTTCCTTAGTGATCCCGGTCAAGTCGGCGCTATCGGTGAACATTTCCGATACTCCCATTGCTATCAGTGCTTCTTTCAATTTGAAATCCGTCTCGATTTTCATTTTTGGAATTGTGATCTGAAAAAGAGGCGATTCAGAAGATCTCAGTTCCTTTTTCACGATTACGCAGAGATTTGAAACTTTGTAGTACCGATATGTAAGTCATTTCTAACTTTGAAAGCAGGTTCTGTATCTGCTCCCCAGTAAGTTTTGAACGTCCCTCATCAGGATTAGATCTGAAGAATCAAAGTGAATAACGATCAACACTTCTCCTTACATTAATATTTCAGAAAACGATTCTTTCACCTCTTTTTAGGTAGGAAGATATTGAATGCAAATGATGTATCTAAGTACTGTAGTGAAAGCACTTGGAATTCGCCATTTTCAGCGTACATTCGGTGTACGGCAAAGTCATTCATATATTCTACCTGAAATACATATTGTAAACATTGATTTCATTAATCATGAGTTACCAAGGAAGTGCCGCGTGCGTGCGCGCGACCGTGGGAATTTGAGGGGGAAATCCGCCAACCTGAAAGTGTTGATGAGGCTTTTTTTTTNTTTTTTTTTGTCAACGCAGTCCGCAATTTGTAGAAAAGTTCCCTTGAGGTCGTCTCTATGAATTCTTATCTTATTCTGTACCGGAACAATGAAAAAGAGCCACGGAAGGCAGTGGAGTGATTTACTGATTTGAACGCATAGATTTTTTTATCGAGAAGACTGCTGAGTTATAGCACTCTCTTCCCTATCAAATCCCCAACCCGTTATCAGTTTGCGACAACTTGAGCTGAGAAGTTGAAGAGAAGGATAGTTTTCGAAGGTAGCACAACACCGAAACCGAGTTGGATAATCAAAATGGAGAGCAATAAGCAAGCGAAACATTAAGAAGACCGTATACAGGGTGGTACGTGAGCCTGCTACCCACCTTCCTCCTTCCTCCGGCACTATAGAATGTGCCTTTCGTATTAGCAAGTTTATCAAACTTGTAGTCCCATTCAGCAGTAAAATAGATAGCATTGACAATAATTGAAAATGCATCTGCAAAAGAAAAATCACGAGGAAGAACTTCGGGTACAATTGAGCCGTACCTTAATCGATCTCGGAGGAATGGAAAGCTTGATTGGCCTAGGCATTACCCATACAAGATTCGACCCCTGGATCATGTGTGTCTGGCCATTGCGTACGGCTGGCTACAATAAGCTTCTTGCATGCAAAGGATGCGTCCTGATGCGAATGGTGCAACCTCTACAGTCCCTGCACCGTCATGAAAACTCCTTCACCTCTGGGTGTGTTCGTCGGCCAAGCCAGTATTGGGGCCTTAATTACGCCCTAGACCGTTTTACGACCGAACGTCTTCGGTTGTGCTAGCCTTGAGGGTCACGGTTCCATCCGGGTAACCCGATCCCGCACTATCGCTCCCCTGCCCAATCACAATGACCCCCTGAGTTCAGACAAGTGAAATGACTTGCATTAACAAATAAATAA